GGATTTGTTATGCGGGGGGGGGCTCTATGGTATCGAGCTTATATATATACACAGTATATATATATATATATATATATAAGTATTATAAGTATATATACTGGTATTGGTACCAACTACTGAAACGTAAGTACCGTGAAAACACTAGTGTGAACTGAATTTGTAAAAAAAAATTATGAATTAAAAGTGTCATGTGATTGACCCAAAACTAAATTACGACTGTTTTTGGTACAAGAAACCTTAACTGCCATTAAGTAGACTTCGGGGAAAAATATCAAATGCTATAAAAGTGTTTAAATACTTCAGAAGATTTACTGCAAAATTCCAACTTTAGTTTCTCATTCCTTCCCTCAACAAATACACTCACTTATTCTCTCGCTCTTCCTTCAAAGGTCAATATATAATCGAGCCGTGTCGTCCGCTGTTACCGGGTTCAGTCCAGTGTCTCTAAGGACACATGAGCTGGTTCTGCAACTGGGGCTCCAGAGCACACCAAGCATGCAGTATATTGAGCGTATACTTCCTTCCCACCAGCGAGAGCGAGACCATCCATTAGAAGAGCGACAACGTTTCAGCTGTTCTGATTTTCCACCGTCGGCTCCGCCAGGACCTGCTCTTAAACCACGCGGACTCAAACTGACAGCCCTGGAAGCTCTGGAAAATGTGCGACTATTGCGCAGCTTTACATCCTTTTGGTCTTGTGAAATTCCCACAGTGGAGGTTCATACTGTGTTTAACGTTCTTGCAAGACCTGTGTAAGTCATCTGTGGCGTTATGTAGCCTGATTACATAGAAATAAATTCCAATGTGCGCACTGTTAGCTATTTCAAAGGCTGTTATAATCTGACACTACTGACACTGAAATTCAAAATGGATTACATTCAATATTCCATTTCCGTATGACAAACTAAATATACAATCTGTAAGCACTGTAATACATTTATCCAAAGCAACTTACAGTACACACTCAGTACAAGGACAATCCTCCAGAAACATTCTGGTTAAGGCCTTGTTCAAGAGCGCAGTGATGATGAGCTTTGACCGCACGAGATGCCCTTTCCCAGTTTTTCAAATGGGAAAATGATTCAATGGAAATACTTCTTGAGTTACAGGCATGCACACTTTGAAAAACAAAAAACCAAAGGGCTTTTCACACTGTGCTTAACCCCTGAGTTATCGACATTCTAAACCCTGTTTTTAACCCCGGGTAAAGATGCGTTTCACACTTGTAATTTAGATACGGGGTTAGCACCGGTTTTTAGCAGCGCTTCCGCAGTGTTAACCCCTGGATTGCAGTGCAAAACATGTACAGATTGAAACCATGTGGCGTTAGAATGCTAGAACGCCTAGATGCTTAGCAACTGTAAGAAAATCGTGTGCCTCATCCTAATGAGGGGTAAAATTAAGCACCAATATGAGATTGAACATTTACAAAAAATGATTATGGAATTTATTGATCAGCAAGTGATGCTTGAAACTTTGTGTTAATATATTTCACTACAGTGTTAATAGCTTTTCCATATTCACATGCTTTGGAGGGTCACGGAAACACAGTGCATTGTAGAAACAGTTGTTTCAGCATTTTAAGTGAAAAATTTCAAATTGTGACAGAAAAAATACCTATATAGTCCACCGAGAGTCCATTCTGGAAAAACATGATAATACGGTCTGCAATAATACGAGGAAGTGCAATGCTAGAGCAAATATGCAAATAAGAACATTATCCTGGGGTTACAGTATGAAACATCAGCTTATGAATACACAGAATTAATTGTTAACCCTGGGTAAATTGCGAGCACTGTGAAAAATGAAGCAAGATAACCCAGGATTTACTATTTCAAGTGTGAAAAGCCCAAAAAATAGATTATTT